GCCCGGTGCCAGGTACTCCACGGCCCGGCACCGGTCCGCGGACCGGGGGTTGGGGACCACTGGCCTAAGTAATAAAATATTATTAATGCTTAATTAGAAGTTCTACTAAATTAAATGAAATCCACTTAAACCTTTAAAAATGTCTAAGGTAGTCCAATTATACCCTCCTATCTATTATTTAAATTCAAAGGGAAACAGTGAAATTTGCAAAAAAAAAAAAATCCCACATAAAAAGGGAGAAGAAAAAAGCAGGTACTTTTCAGCTTCTGGGGACTGCATTTAGTGCAAAGGAAAAAGCAGAGCTTTCTGATTAAAATAAAAACAAAAACAGGATAAACAAAGACCCAGGCCTGGAGTGCTGACAATTGTTGAATAATGAAAACACTGATGTGTGCTTTCCTCCATGATTTTATTATGGCTAATGTGCCACAGCTTATGAATATTGCAAAGCTGCCGAATAGCTTGCAAGCTATTCCAACAATATAAGTAACTAATGACAAAAATATGGTTGAAGTAATAACTGTAGCCTTTTTACACTAATACATGTATAGTAGATACTACTGTGTTCACATGTAATAAGAAAATGCAGGATTTTAAATAAGGGTTAAAAGCTGACAAATACATGCAAAAATGCAATACTAATTTAAAGCAGAAGAGAGGAAAATAAACTGTTTATAGAAGCAATAAATTGTAAAAACCCAAGTAACTAATAAAAGTTTCATAGACTTCTCTGGCTAGATGGGGCGGGAGAAATTACATATTTCTATTTTTTGTGCAAGTAGCTAAAACTTCCCAAGTGTTGCACACTATAGCACCCATCAGTCTCAGCCATTTTATATGTCGACTGAATATAGCAGAAACTGGCTACTGTCACAGTTTATACCCGGCTACTGTCAAGTAGAAAAAGCAACGTTATGTTTTAAATGGCTACACCAATCTACTTTTTAATAAATAAATAGATCTTCAAATCGTGACCTGACAAATGCGTGCCGATGAAACCGCGCTGACGAAACCGCGTCCATAAAAAGCGTGCCATCCACAAACAACATAGTGGGATGCAAAAACAATGTTTAAGGGTTAGGGACGTTGTTTTCGCGTCCCACTATATTGTTTGTGGATGGCACGCTTTTTGTGGGCGCGGTTTCATAGGCGCGCATTTGTCAATGAACCCTTCCCATACCTAATTATAAATAATAAACTTGCTTTTAAAAAATCAGATATTTAAGTAGTCTGACAAAACAAAAGGTAGCATATAAACCTAACAAATAAATAAATGAACTACTTTTAGAATAAGACATATTACTTTAAATAATTCCATCAGCAATATTTTCACTACTAGAAAACAAAACAAGCATTAAAGTGCTGGTTTACATTTTATTTAGCAGATATGGTCTAAATGTCCTACGGCTTTATTTGGTAAAATCTTAACCTTTAAAAGTAGAAAGATCATTCAGAATTAAATTTTCTACTTAATGTATAAGGAGATAACAATCTATCTCTAAGTTCATAGTGTGTAAAATCATAGATGGTTGAGATGTCATTTTATTCTATGTATAGTCATGTGATTCTTGCAGCATGACAATGGTCAACAACATCTAAATTAATGTATCCTAATATGAAAAACCAGATTCCAAACTGTTCCTGTTAACTCCAAAGCAAGCTTAACCAAGAACAGGGGTAGGCCACTAATTTTCCTAAGGGCTCACATGAGAATGCTGTGGAGGGCCACTGCCACCCTGCCAATGCCCCACCATTTGCAAGTGCTACACGGGGATCCTGCCTTCAACATTCTCTCTGCCCCACCCCCACCCCACCCCCGACATATTTCTGAATATGTCCTCCCACTGATGCCAATGCCATGTGCCAGACTGGAACCTGTGAGCCAAAAAATGCCCAGGTCTGCAAGAAGGAACAATTCCATCAATATAAATACAAAGAAATTTGAGATCAGCATCTATTTTAGTGTAAATCATAACACAGAATCCAAAGTTTCCCCCCAAAATTATACACTTACAAGTCATTAAATTTATCCTGTGAAGGATCTGGTGTGAAGACATCTAAAAGCCCAATTACCTATAGAAGGAAAGAAACACAAATAAGAAAATACTGCCATTGCAATTATTTGCATAAGAAACATTAATTGCCAGTCTACTTCCAGATCCAGATTAAGGTATTGATTATGATCTTTAAAGCCCTACATTGTGTGAGCTCAGGTTACCTTTGGAACTGTCTTTATCCCATTACATCAGCCTGATCCACCTGATCACACAGGAAAGATGTGCTGCAGACCCCGTCAGTTAATGAATGACTGGTGGGGTCCACAAAGAGAGTTTTCTCTGTCTTTACCCCACACTCTGTGGAAGCCTACCTATCCTCCCAGAGGTGAGGCGGATCCCCAGGGCGGGCAAGGATAGTTGATGCGCAAAATATACATTGCAACGCTTATTGCAAAGCCTCTCAACTATCAAACGATAACCCG